AATATACAAGAGTTTCACGGAGTGAGGGCGGCTCCTTTTCAAAATGTGGCCCTCGCCTTAGCGCGGCCAACATTCGTTTACAACTTTGGCAAAAGTTTCACGGATTCCCATCATCAACGTACCAAAAATAGTGTTTTGAAAGGGTTCAGGATTATGCGGGTCAACAGTAATGTTGGTTCGCTGTCTTGAAGTCCCAGGAATGGCGTTCTGGCACGATTCAGGATCGTCAAGACGCAACAGTCAGATTCATCCGTGGCGTTGAAATCCAGAGAAGAATGTTTTGGCATGCTTCAGGGTTTTCAAACGGTTGTCTTCGAACGAGGCAGTTCACTCAATGGAAATGAACCGTTGTAGGGGCCTATGAAGAGGGAGCTGCTGGTCCTCCTCCTCCTCCTCCTCCTTCTCCTCCTCCTCCTCCTCCTCCTCCTCCTCCTCCCCTCTCCTCCTCCTCCTCCTCCTCCTCCTCCTCCTCCTCCTCCTCCTCCTCCTCCTCCTCCTCCTCCTCCTCCTCCGTCGGGAGGCGACGGCAACGGCGAAGAGGGCGAGGGAGGCGGCCAAACGTGCGCTCCAGGGGCTCGCGCCTCGCAGCTTGCCCAGGAAAAGAGAGGGGGGCAGAGAGGCGCAGAGGACGAGCCAGGCGCGCTCGCGCGATATCCGAAAGCGTACCCCTCCCACCCCTCCGTTGCCCGCTGCGCCGATGTCCCTCTGTCCCCCGACGAGTGTCACAGAGGGCCTGGAACCTCACATAAGGACCTCGCATCGTGGCATCTGCAATCGGAGAGAGGGGAGCTGTGCACACTGGAGGAGGAGGTGGAGGAGGAGCAGGAGGATGAGCAGAGGAAGGAGGGCGACGAGGAGGAGCAGCAGCAGCAGCAGAACCAGGAGTGGGAGGAGCAGGAAGAGCGGCGGACCTGGGGAGATCAGAGGAAAGGAGACGAGCGGGAGAGAACGACGGAGAGCGGACGACGAAAACAGGGAGGAAAGGAGCGGGAGAGAACGACGAAGAAGGAGCGTGAGAGAACGATGAGGAAAAAGTGGCCCGCGCTGGGGCAAGAGTGCCACTCCCATTCCGAACGACGGGGCCCAGCGCCGATCCCAACGTAAGGCCCGCGCTGAAGCGGGAGCGCAGTTCTGATCCCCCCCCACCGAAAGCTTCGTTGCTGAAACGGGGCATGCGGCCAGACCCAGGGCAGAGGAGGAGCGGGTGCGCCCGCCAGAGTGTGCCCATGTCCACTGCCGCGGGGTCGTGCCCTGGGCTCTCACGGAGCGGTGAATACAGTAGGAGGAGCTGGGCCACAAGGAACCTTCCACGAGAAACCAAGCCCTGGAACCCCAGAACGTCCACTGACGTCCGGTGCGTCACGTCACGTCAAAACCCGAGAAGCCCAGGGCACCCTGGAGGCACGAAGCGTGTTTCTTGGCATGGGTTTGCACTGACCCCTGCAGGAGCAGGCGGAGGAGGACGAGGAGAAGGAGGAGGAGGACGAGGAGGAGGAGGAAGACGAGGAGGAGGAGGAGGAGGAGAAGGAGGACGAGGAGGAGGACGACGACGACGACGAGGAGGGGGAGGAGGAGGCGGAGGAGGAGGAGGAGGAGGAGGAGGAGGAGGAGGAGGGGGAGGAGAAGGAGGAGGAGGACCCCTGTGGGCGACGAACAACAAAAAAAAACGGGCCTCATGCCAGATGACGTCGCGGCCTTACGCGGTGGCTTACGCGGGCCGCCAGCACGGCACGCTGCAGCGGAGACGAGGGCGCCCGCGCGCAGCCTCACGCGGGCAACGTGCGAGCCGGTGGTCGGCGCAGTCGACCCTGTTGTCGCTTCCATGGCATGAGCATTGCGTATCCGAACGTGGTGCCCATCGCTCCTTGGCCGTCCCAGGCGGTCTTCGGGCGGTGTTCGGCGGTCTCCAGTGGTCTTCTGACGTGTTCCGACGGTCTTCGACGGCTTCAAGCGGTCTTCGGCCGTTTCCAGCGGTCTTCTGCGCGAGAGCTGGACGGTTGCGTTCAACGAGCGGTCCATGATCGAACACGCAATGATTGGGGAGACGTAAGACTCGGGTTCGGGGGACTCGGGCTGGCCTGATGGGGCCATTAAGAAAATGACGAGACCCAATCTAAAATTTGGCGCGAACTCCCGCTGCAGACATCCCACGAAAACCGAACCGTCAAAATCCAGGACGCGCTCATCAAAAAGCGTCGGCAAGCTCGAGTTCTGGCACACTCGAGTCTTACGCTACCCCGAAACAAGGGGTCCATGACCGAACACCCAATGAACATAAACTTGCGGAGGTCCGCGCGGACCTCCGAAAGTGCATGTCTGTGTCACTGTGTGTTCCCGTACCTCCTGGGGCTGGGTGTTGTTTTCCTCGGGTTCCTCATCCCTCTCCTCCTCCTCGTCCTCCTCCTCCTCCTCCTCCTGCTGCTCCTCTGCGTTCTCTTGTGCCACTGCGCTTCGCTGGACGGTAAAAAAAGGGTTCCCCGACCTCTGCCCCCCTCCCCGGGCCACCAACAAACGCCCCACGGCATGGAGGGCTGGCTCGAAAGTCCTCGGCGCCCACGCTTCGACAGACATCGTGGCACCCAATGCCTCTGGCAGCGAGCTTGAGCCGGGCCCACTGGGCCGGCGCGGCTCCCGAGCCAGTTCGCTGGCAACTGATGGGAGCCTCCCATACCATCTCGCTCGCTCCTGCGAATCGACGCTGATCGGCGCTAGTCGACCCGACATCGACGCTCATCGACGCTACTTCATCGATCAACAGACGCCAATTCTAGAGGCCTCCCAGATGGGGTCGGAGAAGATGGGGTCGGAGGATCGCGCCGCATCGCCGAGACATCGGCGATGCATCGGCGATGTATCGACGATGCACCGGCGATGCATCGTCGACGTCGGCTATGCATCCGCGGCGTCGACGTGAAGCAAACCGGGCTCCGCATCGAGCCGCATCGGCGATGCATCGGCGATGCGGCGCGATCTTCCGACCCCATCTGCTCGGATCACATCTTGGATGTACTTGATACCACCGTCCTTAAGGACGACATCCCAGAAATAATTTCGAGCGCCCAGAAAAGTATCGAAACAATGTCGAACGAGTATCGCCCCCCAGGGCCCGACACGTGAAAACCCTCTAGTTTCAGTACTCTCTTGGTGCTCGCGATTATTTCTGGTGGTCCAGGCTAAAGTAGGTTGGAACATCATGAATCATAGATCTAGGAGGCCTAGAATAATCCACGCTGGTATCGTGTAATCGCCTGCCCTTCGTCGTCGTCTTCCCCCTCCCCCTCCTTGCGTCCTCTCGGCGCGCATTTGGCGCCACCAGGCCGTGTGGAAGCGCGTTTGACGTATAATCGCCTGCTGCTGCACGCATTTGGCGTGTCGTCGTTCTTTTCTTTGCCCACGCGCATTTGGCGTATGGCTGCTTCGGTGCACTCGGTGCAAGGGTGTAATTACCCGTGGCTCCCACGATCGGCTGCAGAGCCAGGGCCCGCCGCCCTGGGCTCGGCTCGGTGCGGCCCCCCGGGGCGGCGCCTCCACGGCTGAGGGGCAACGATAGGGGGGTGCTGGCATAGCTTAGGTCGGGCATGTCCTCCTAAAGGCGGGCTTTGGAGAAGAATGAACAATTGCCACAAAGAAATACTCGAAAACATAGTCAAAAGATAATGGGAAGATCGTCCCCAGACTATGTTTTGACTATTTTTGAACATTCCTCCTGTAGAGGGACATGCCCGATTTAAGCATAGGGGGGAACGCATCGACCTGGAATCGGCGATACGTCTCGCCGATAGATCGGCGGCAAGCCCCCGGACGTAGAATCCGCACCTCCCTGTGCAGGCTGGGGCCCTCGGGCCCCTGTCGGCGATCAATGGGCCATTGGGAGTCGACGCGTCCCCCCCTACGCCTATCCCCCCCCCTGTCGCTGCCCCCGATCACGGCGCTGCAAGACCAGCCCGCCGGGTCCGGTGCTCTGGGCGGGGTGCCGGCCGGGGCGGGCCACCTCTGGCCTCGGAGAGCGCGGGCGAGGCGACGGGCCGCCTGCAGCGGGCGGGAGGTCCGGCCCAGAGCGGCACGCGAGGCAGCGTCGGCCCTGTACATGCTGTCAGGGGGCAACGCGGACGCAACGCGACGGGGGCACTCGCGAAGGCAAGCGCTCAGCGGCGGCATGGTGCATCGAAGCCGTGTGCGCGCTAGGGCCTGCGGCTCTCCAGCGGCCCGCTCCCTGCGGACCCGGGCGGCGCCGACGAGAGTGAAGGGAGGCAACTGCTCGGAGGCCTTCGTCGGAAGAGTCGAAGGAGGATCAGGCCCCATTGGGGGACTGTTACGCCAGATTAGGCCACGGATTAAGCGGGATTCAGCGGGATTGAGCGGAACGGGGCCGGATTAAGCAGAAGAAAGCCAGATTCAGCCCGAGTTCGGACCAGGGCAAAGTCAGAAGTTCACCTCGCAGGAGTTGCATCCGAAGATGATGTGGCGGCGCGCACACGGGGGCGGGGGGAGGGGGGAACGCTTCTTGGAAACAGGGGTGCTTTAAGAAGCCTGCCCTCCTCCCCATAGCCCCCTCGGCGCGAGGCCGAGAGAGAGAATAAGCCTGGAAGATATCATGGCCCCAGCCATAATATCCACACACCCCTGGTCCTCACACACCTCCATTGCGCGACCCGATTGCTCGGCAACGCTCGCCACCCCGCCCCCCCAACCTTGCTTTTCTCCGCTGGTGGCGTCCAACTCGGGTGTCGTGTAATTCGTGTCCCCTGGGGCAGACTCTAAGAAAAAGGGCCTGCGAGCCAGGAATACGACCCGGGCAAACGCGACTGGAAAAACAGCTCTGGAGACCAAAGACCTCCGCAGCTGTCTTTGCATCCGTCTGACCGCCCGTGCGGCCACTGCGAATTCGCGCCGTCAGCGCCAGAGTGAACCTTGGAGCGTAAGGCAAGCTGACAACCTCCATCCAACACGCCTGGCGATTCGAGTTTGGCTGGCTATCAAAACCTCTTAAGGACAAACCTTCAGAAGCATTTTCTGTGCACAATGGTGGGGCCCGACTCGTCATACTCGCCCTTGGAGATCCACATCTGCTGGAAAGTACTCAGCGAGGAAAGGATGGACCCACCGATCCACACAGAGTACTTGCGCTCGGGCGGAGCCACGACCTTGATCTTCATCGTGGAGGGCGCCAGCGCCGTCAGCTCCTGATCACAGAGAATTTGGCCCTCGATACGATTCGGGGGAGGGGGCTCGCTACCAACTCAAATGAAAACCACCGTGAGGTGAGGATTGGGGAAGGCAAAGGGCGTTTCTGACAAAATGTGGCTTGGCAGCGAGGGTGAAGATCATAAAATATAACTCCATCCTTGGTCATGCGCTCGCCGATGCCTGGGAACATTGTCGTGCCACCGGACAGGACAACGTTGGCGTACAGATCCTTGCGGATGTCGACGTCACACTTCATGATCGACTGGAAGGTGGTGTCGTGGATGCCGCTAGCTTCCTTGCCAACGAAGCTAGGCTGGAAGAGCACCTCGGGGCAACGGAAACGCTCGCTGCCCACAGTGATGATGTTTCCGTCAGGAAGCTCGTACGTCTTCTCCTTGTCGGAGCTCTCCGTAGCGGCCTTCATCTCGGTGTCGAAGTCAAGCGCGATGTAGCAGAGCTTCTCCTTGACGTCGCGCACGATCTCCCGCTCAGCTGTGGTGGTGAAGGAGTAGCCGCGCTCGGTGAGGATCTTCATCAGGTACTCCGTGAGATCGCGCCCTGCCAGGTCCAGACGCAGGATCGCGTGCGGCAGCGCGTAGCCCTCGTAGATGGGGACGGTGTGCGACACGCCGTCGCCAGAATCCATGACGATCCCAGTGGTGCGGCCGGAGGCGTAGAGCGAGAGCACTGCCTGGATCGCGACGTACATCGCAGGCACGTTGAACGTCTCGAACATGATCTGCGTCATGCGCTCGCGGTTCGCCTTGGGGTTTAGGGGAGCCTCCGTGAGGAGCACCGGGTGCTCCTCTGGGGCCACGCGGAGCTCGTTGTAGAAGGTGTGGTGCCAGATCTTCTCCATGTCGTCCCAATTGGTCACGATGCCGTGCTCGATGGGGTACCTCCCCCCGGCCTGAGTCCACTCAAAACCGGGGCCCAGGCCCGCCCTGGAAACTAACCTCCACCGTCATCCCAGCAGCACGCAGACGTGTGGACGAAGATGTATCCCCGAAGGCCCAGAAAGAAGACGGAGGGGGGGAGGAGGGTTTCAGGGGGCTACTTCAGGGTGAGGACGCCGCGCTTGCTCTGGGCCTCGTCGCCAACATAGCTGTCCTAACGACAAACAGTTTAAGCAAAAGCTTTCGAAGCTCCGCGCGGATGTCTTGGGTCGGTGCTGGACCCCCCTCCCTGGCGCGCGGAGCGCGCCGGAGGCACCGCCCAAAGCGCCGCCAGGAGTGTCCAGCGCCGATCCTAGAAAACCGCGCGGAGCCCCGAAAGTGGACGGTTATGCGTTTTGTCATTCTTCAATGTCCTTCTGGTCCATGCCGACCATGATGCCCGGCATCTTCGGGCGGCCAACGATGGAGGGGAACACGGCGCGCGGCGCGTCGTCGCCCGCGAAGCCGGCCTTGCACATGCCGCTACCGTTGTCCACGACCAGGGCGGCGACCTCCTCCTCGCCCATGGCTGCGAGGCGCAACAAGCGGTCGGACGCACACGACGAGCGGGTGCACAGAAGGAGTAGAGGAACCAAAAGCTGCATAACCATAAGCTTTCGGAGATTTGCGCGGATTTCTTGGATCGGGAATGGACCCCCCTCCCAGGCGCGCTTGGCCTCGCCAAGGGCGGCACCAGAAGCGCCGCCAGGGGGGCCCGGCGATGATCCAAGAGATCCGCGAGAACCTCCGAAAGTGTATGCTCATGCCGCTTCTTGCTCTTCGGATCCAAACCTGGGCCACGAGTCGAACCTGGCATGAGCCAGAACGGCCACAGCATTCGTAGAAGATGGGCGAGGATGTGGCGCTGCGCTGAGCTCTCCCAAGTCGAGGAGTCCAGAAGCAGCAGCAGCAGCAGCAGCAGCAGCAGCAGCAGCAGGGGAGCGAGAGGAGCATGCCCAGACCCCCGACGTCCTACCTTGTCTGCAGAGTGGCGTTACTTCCTCCTCCTCCTCATCCTCCTGGTCTTCCTCCTCATCACTTGTCCTTCGCCTCCTCCTCCTCTTCCTCCTCGTTCTCCTCCTCCTCCTCGTCCTTGATCGAGGATGGTCTCTCGTCCCGGGCTCTTGATGACGGCCCAAACTTCGAGAATTGCAACACACATGTGTGTTCGGGGTGCTCGGTGTTGCTCATGTTGCAGGTCTCGTCCGTAGCGTCTTGTCTTGTCTGGTTGTGTCTTGCCTTCCGTGGCCGCCTTGGGCCGTCTGGCAGGCGTCTTGGCCCATCTTGGCGGGATGCCCACGCCAGTCTCACGGCCGAGCGGCGACTGGAGGGATCTGGAGTGGTTCGCCCGCCTGATTAGGGGAAGTCCCTTTCCAGCGGTTTGGGTCGACGTGTTGCGAGTGAGTTTAACGCACAAGAAAGCCCGAGGTGGCCACGTGATGGCCCCAGATAGCCCAAGGTGGCCTCCAATAGCACCAAATAGCCCAAGATGCTTCAAGATGGCCTCCAGCATGCCCCCAGCAGGCCCCAAAACGGCTGCAAGTGGCCACGGACCCCTCCCAAGGATGCCGCGAGCCCTCCGAATGCCGGTGGGTTTCTACTGATTCGTGCCTCCTCGCCTTTTAGCCTCCGATGATCTCCTGGAATCCCAGAAAAGGACTTCACGAGCGCACAAGAGGAGCTCCAAGTGGGGTCAGGAGGGGCTTCAAGACGGCCCAGAAGGCCTCCAAAAGCACTCCAAGAGCATCCCGATGGGGTTCCAACAGGCGAGGTTTCAGGCTCCAGAGGGGAGCGCCGCCTTGTTCATCAAAGGAGCCAATCAAGAATGGCTGGAAAAGAGCCCAAAGGTCCCCAAGAGGGCACCACAAGGACCCCGCGAGCGTCAAGGCGTCCGACAAAATTGTTCCCGGAGGGATCCAAGATGCCTCTTGAAATAACATAAGTTCACGAGGGTTGGCCCATCTGTGCCACTCTCTGCTGCTAATCGCACCAGCCCTCTGAGAGGTGGTTCAGGGCAGATTCACTTCCGACTTCCTTCGTTCCCCTTCGGGGGAGATTCCACTGTTTCCCCCACCCGGCCGGCGACAAGCAAGGGACAATGATAACACCCACCCCCCGCCAACCCCATCGGCCCATCAACAAAAACAGCACAACATGCACTTTGTGGCACCATCGGGGTCACAACTGGGCTCCCCGCGATCACGCTGACAGTGTTGAGTGGGGGTTACCCGAGTCAGGAGAACAAGCAATGACCCAAGCATAAAAACTCGGAGGTCCGCGCGGACTCCTCGGACTGGCGCTGGGGCCGCCCCCGGGTGGCGCTCCGCGCGCCCGCGAGGAGGATCCAGCGCCGATCCGAGAAGTCCGCGCGGACGTCCGGGCTGTCATGCTTATGTCGTGGCCTGTCCCTCTGATACAGGATGGGGCTCGACCACAAGAAACCTCCCACAGGAAACCCAACCCTGAGACCCCGGGACGTCCATTGCTTTTTGGCGTGGGAGCGTCGCGCTTCCCAGGGCAGAACCATTGAAACCCAAGACACCCGGGGCACCCTGGAGGCGAGCAGGGTCTCTCTTCGCATGGGTCTCCACTGCAGCCGACTGACTCCCCTCCCTCCTCTGGGGCTCGAGCAGCAGCCCGGGTCCACGGCAACATATTTTTCCCGCGCAGAGATCGCCTGCTCCCCCCTCCTCCTCCTCCTCCTCCTCCTCCTCCTCCTCCTCCTCCTCCTCCTCCTCCTCCTCCTCCTCCTCCTCCTCCTCCTCCTCCTCCTCCTCCTCCTCCTCCTCCTCCTCCTCCTCCTCCTCCTCCTCCTTCCTCCTCCTCCTCTCCTCTGATCCCTTTTCCTTGTTCGCTCGCTTTGCCAGTTCTCCATGCGGCGACGAATGCAAAAGCAAGAAATGCAGTGGCCCCAGACTCGGGTTAAGATAGCGGGTGCGATTGACAATCGCTTTTGCCAACCACGCTGCTCAACTCCGCTTCCCCTCAAGGGGGCCATCATTACAGCCCTCGAAGCTCAGGGCCGCAGCACACGCCACGGCAACAGACTGGACCTCCTGATAGGTCGGGCATGCCCTCCTGCAGGCGGAGTTCGGAAGGAAAACATAAAAAATGTCCAAGCATGTGCCCCGTCAAAAAAAATAGTCGAAACAAATCGTCCCCTGACGATTGCTTGACTATCCTTGCATGCTCCTCCCGTAGAGGGGCAAGCCCGACTTGGACCTCCTGTGGCGTGCCGCGCGGCAGGGATGGCGTGGTGCCCCGGGGGGGCGCGCGGCGCACCCCTCGGGCTGGCTCCGCGCACGCCCCGCTGGCCCCTGCGTGGGGCCAGATGGCTGTCCGCGGCGGCCCTCGTCGATGCCGAAACTCGGATCCCCCTCCTCCGGAAGGCCGGAGAACCACCCTCAGAATGAGCATCCCCGACAGGCGAAGCCGGTTCGCAAACGCACCCCGAAGGAGGAAGCGAACAGGGCGGGGCAGCTCCGTAGACGCCCACGGCCGCGTAGGAGAAACACCCACTCTGGTGAACGTTTTCTTCTCTTCTTCGGCGGTTCGACATTGGGCGGAAGGGAGGGAAAGGGGGGTGTCTGGCTCCGGTCCTCTGCCTAATTCGGCTGCTTGCGGCAGTGCGACCCATAGGGGAGACCCCACCTGCGCGAAACAGGCGCCAAAGAAAACCGAGATCTACTCCAGAGGGGGGGGAGCGGGTGCGAGGGCCCGCGCCGATCGGCAAAACAATGAAGAAGAAAGCGATCACGCTGGGGGTCGGGGTGGTTTGCTCCCTCTTGACTTCTGTGTTGAGGCGGGTGGGAGTGTGCGAAACGGCTTGCTGCGCGCGTGCGTGCGTGCGTGCTTGCGTGCGTGCGTGCGTGCGTGCGCGCGTGCGCGCGTGCGCGCGTGCTTGCGTGTGTGCGTGCGTGCGCGTGCGGGTGCGCGTGCGCGTGCGCGTGCGCGTGCGCCGTGCGCGTGCAGCGGTTGCAGTTTTAGGCGCCGTCCAGGGCCCCGTTCGGGCCAGGTCCCTGCAATCCTCGCTCTCCCCAACGTTCAGTCTGGCGGGGCGAGGGCCTCGACGGAGCTCTCCGCCGCGCCCCGAGGAGGCCCGACGAGGGCAGCGTGGTGTCCCCTAGGCCCCAACCGCAGACCGCACCCCGGCGTAACCACACCGTCTGCAGCCGCCGACGATTGCCCCCCCTGTTGCCGTCCGCCCGACTGGGCAGGAGAGCCCAGAAGCGATCGATGAGTCGGATCGGCGATCGAAATGGGTCGGATCGGCGGAAATCGGCAGCCAAGTCGGGAAAATTAGAATCGGCGGACATCGGCAGGCTAGCATGCCTCCAACAAGGAGTCGGAGTCCAAATCGGAATCCGAAGTCCAATCGAACCAGCATCGGAAAAGCCATCGAAATCGAAGCGCATCGCATCGGAGGACTCGAAACGAGCCATGGACTGGGGGCCGGCGACCTGAACAGCCGGTACACGCGCCCGAAGTCCGCCCGACTGGGGTTGGCAGCGCGCAGAGGGGGACAGGGGGAGGGGGAAGGCCTCTTACAAGGAGGGGCTGCTCCTTGGAAGACTCTGGCCCTGCAGCTGCAGACGAGGCCCGCCGCTCCTACGAAGCAGGGCTGCCTCTCAGAAGCCTCCCCCCTCCCCGAGCCCCTCTCTGCGCATGGCTACCGACCGGGGCCCGGCCAGGAGAGCCCAGAATCGAATCGACAGGTCGAATCGGCGATCGAAATGAATCGGATCGGCGGAAATCGGCAGCCGAGTCGGAAAACGTCGAATCGGCGGAAATCGGCAGGCTAGTAGGCCTCCAATGAGAAATCGGAACCCAAATCGGAATCCCAAGTCGAATCGATTCGGAATCGAATCCATCGAAATCGAATCGAATCGAATCGGAGGAATCGAAGCGAGCCCTGCCCGGCGGCCTGAACAGCCGGTACACGCGCCCGAAGTCCGCCAGCTCCGCCTCCCGCTCGGCCTCCCCCAGGCCGCCGCCGTCCCGCAGCGCCTCGGACGCGGACGCCTCCGCGGGCTCCGCGCGCGCTCCCCCCCTTGGGAGGCCGCCCCGGCTTCGCGCGCCGCGCCCCCGGCGACGACGAGGACGGCGACGACGAGGACGACGAGGACGACGAGGACGACGAGGACGACGACGACGACGCCGACGACGACGACGACGACGACGACGACGACGACGACGACGAGGGCGAGGACGGCGAGGGCGAGGGCGAGGACGACGACGACGACGAAAAAGGCGAGGACGAGGGCGAGGGCGAGGACGACGACGACGACGACGACGACGACGACGACGACGACGAGGACGACGACGAAGACGACGACGCCGCGCCCACAGGGCCACGCCCACAGGCGGGGACCGATCACGCGCGGGCCGAAGGCCGAAGGCATCAGCGTGAGAGGGGGGATGGAGCCCTGGAGCCCGCTCAGGAATAGGGGGTGGGGCACCAGCATCAGCCAGAGCCCTGGAGCCCTGGGGCATGAGCAGGAGCCCTGGAGCCCTGGAGCCCTGGGGCATGAGCAGGAGCCCTGGAGCCCTGGAGCCCTGGGGCATCCGCACGAGGGGGGGGGATCATGAACCATCCATGGCCGCCGCCTGTGCCGGGGGGGCACCAAAGTAGGGCTACGAGATCTATACATATCCACTGCTCCTGGCCAGGCCCATCCTGAGCCCGGGAGCGGTGCATACGCCCTCGTGGCCTAGCCAGGGGGACATATACACCGCTCCTGGACCCAGGATGGGCTTGGCCAGGAGCAGTGGATATGTATAGATCTCGTCGCCCTACAAAGGTGGGGTGGGGGCAAAGGTGGGGGTGGAGGGAAAATCGCTCCGGACTGCCCCTGGAAGAAGGAAACGCGTGAAACGGGAGCATCCGGCGGAGCCCGTTCCCCAGCCCCACCTTGGGATAACCCTCGCTCTACGAACCCTCGACTGGGGAACCGACGTCATGGGACTCTGGCGGGCGGTGGACACGGATAATTACGCGTGCGTCGGCCCCCGGGCGGGCCGGTTATAGATCCCTGCCCGCCACCTGCCAGAGTTCCCGGAGCTCGACCGAGCCCCAGGCGCTGGTGGCTTTGTGGCGGGCTCGTGCCGTGCGGCCTTCGGCGCTGGCTTCTGACACCGCGACGACGACGACGACGACGACGACGACGACGACGACGACGACGACGACGGCTGTGCTGAAACTCGCACAGGAACGCAGATCCTGGTGTATGCGGGATCCTGGTGTGTACATGTTTCGTTGCTTCCCTTGGAAATCGGGGGAGAGCTATACGCCTCACCACCCCGACGTCGTCCCCGACCCTCAAAAAAGTCCTGGGACTGAAAAACCGCCCGCCACTGGTAATGTATATGCTCCAGTTCCCGACAGAGGACACATCCTGGAGGCCTCGCGCGCGACAACCCGAAGCCCAGCTTCGCGCCGCAGTCACGTCGCATGCACGTCGGCTTCACACCGGCTCGTCGCCGCGCGAACATCATCCCACACCTTACGAGGCGCACGAGGCGTGCCGCGAGAGGCCTCCGGGATGGCCCCCACAGGGCATCAGCGTCGCCAGCGGTCCTCCCGGGCCTCGCGGGCATCTGGCAGGCGAGTTCCCTCCGCCCCAGCGGGAACCCAGCGGGAGAGGAGATTCAGCTTCCGGGTCGGACCGCCCGATGCTCCAAGACGAAAGCTGGAGGTCGTCGAATCTCTTCTGGAGGGACCAAGGAGGTACTGATACCGCCAATCCCCAGGCCTCTCCCAGGGTGCGATCTGCCAAGGATTTCGAGACGAATCCAGCGGTGGCGACGAGGGCTGTCCAGGAGGCCGAAAAAGGCGAAGATCAGGACGGGGTAGAGGTATGGGTACCTTTCCCCCCTCTGACCCGGAATCTGGATCGAAGCCATGGGAGTTCTGTCGCGAGAGGATAACAGCATACACTTCTCGGAGGCGGTCAGATGCGACAGTGTCCAAAGCTGCCCCCGGATCCCTGCGCCATGTTTGGAGCCCCTGGGGCTTTCTGGGCCATAAGAGGCTTGCTTTGGAGGTTATCCTATAGACGCTGGGGCCACCTCGGGCCAGAGCTCCCTCTTGCAGCACCCAGATAGAGGAAGCAGGTCATGCTGTCGGGCTCTGGGAGCAATTTTCTGTCTTCGGGGCATTCCAATAAAAGCGTCCACACTAAGGAACAGTAACAGTCTGGGAACAGTGTCGAAAGCTCAAGGGTCAGCGTCGTTCGTGAAAAGCGATGGGTCTTGCCGTATGCAAACAATCCGAACCGAACATACAAAAACGACGTCGGAGGTCTGGGTATACTGACCCCTCTACGACACTCTAACCAAACCTCCAGCACCTCCTCAACGACTTGTAAGCATTTGTGCCCCCACATCCCGCATCACTTGTCCCATTGCATTGCCGGACCTACCCGCCGATGCCCACGGACCATTGCGTCATCCTTACGCACGCGTGGGATTACGCGGCCGTCAACCTGGAGCTCACGGTCGAGTAGAGCAGAAAACTGCGAGCCCATGCTCGAGCAGCCCCGCGATTTCTACATGACGCCGACGAGAATGGGCCGCAGCACTATAACGCTACCAGCGGGGAGCATCTGGCAGGGGCATACCTTTCCCGAGCGGGCCTTCCAGGCCCAACCTTATGCGGCCAAATCATACAGCTGCGATTAGCGCAGGGCGTGGCCAGAACTCTCTTCGTATCTTGGGCACCACGGGCCAGTGCGGATAGGGAGCAGCAGAGCAAGCGCGCAGAAGCGCGCTGAGATCCACGAAAGCCACGATCTGCGTGAGGGGCGTGCCGAGATGGGCGGAAGCCCGCATGCGAACGCGCTCACTGAAGTCAACGGTAGGCGGAGCTCCCTGTGGTTTACGAACTGCGTGATCAGGGTGCCGAACTGGAAGGAGGCGGGCATGCAAGCATGCCCACTAAGGACAGGTGGAGCGTCCTGAGGGGCACCATCCGCGTGAGGGCGGCACCGAAATAGGCAGAGGCCCGGCTGCGAACTTGCCCACTGTGACCGTAGGTGGAGCTCAATGCGGGGCAGGATCCGTACGAGAGGTGTGCCTGAATAAGCGGGGCTGACGCTATGCGAACTTGCCCACCGTAGCCGTAGTGGAGCTCCATGTGGGGCCGGATCAGTGTGAGGGATGTGCCTGAATAGGAGCGGAAGACGCCATGCGGGCGTACCCAATGGGGCCGTATGTGGAGTTCCCTATCGTGAACGACTGGAGCCAGGGGTGTGACGACATGGGCGGGGGACGCCATGCGGATGTGCCCACTGGGGCCGTCAGTGGAACTCCCAGTGGGGCCGGATGCGTGTGAGGTGTGCCAACATGCGCGGAGGGGACGCTATGCGAGCCCTGTCGAGGCCCAAGATGGAGTTCCCGGCGAGGCACGCTCCGTGTGAGGTGTGTGCCGAACAGCGAGGGGCGGCGGCATGCAAACCATGTATTTGGAATCGTAAGTAGCCTCCATATGGCCTACGATCCGTGCGAGGGTTGCACCGAAGTGTGGGGCGGCGCCTCCACATAACCCAAACGTAAACACACTCAATCGGCCCAGGCCGTAAATCAAATCTTAAGAGGTGCCTCTGCCTCCCCCTCCTATCAACCCTCTTCATCCTCCTGCTCAATTCTCTCCCTTCTCCTGTTCCTGTTCCTCCTCCTCCCCCTCCTCCTCCTCCTCCTCCTCCTCCTCCTCATACTGTTCATCCATCCAGGCCTCCTGGCACTACTACTGATTCCCATCCTTCCCATCGTTTCTCTTCATCCTCCTCCTCCTCATCCGCATCCTCCCCATGTTCCTCCATCCTCCCTCCCCCTCCTCATCCTCCGCGTCGCCCCCCTCTTCCCGACGCAACTCTCCTCCTCCCTCTTCCT